ACTGCTGGTCTTATTATGGTGTTGAACAAATGTGTTAAGTCTGGGCAACTTGCATGTTTTGGAAAACATATAAAGGTATATATAAAGGTTTAGACCCTCTCCTGTTCAGGTTAGCAGTGGAGCCACTGGCTGTCTGTTTTCATTGGGTGGCGGGAACGGATGGCATCACCATAAATTGTATTACCATTGTCAATAGACTTCTAATCTGGACACTGGAACTGTATTCTGCTATGTTCCTTTTTCTATGAAAAAAATCCTAATAAAAAGATTTATAAAACAACGGATTTCATATCATCAGGACATTGCAAAACTGCATAATGCTGCTATTACAACAGCACGGCTTTGTCAGAGAAGACTCCGGGTACTGAATGGCCTCTCCTGCAGTCCAGATCTTTCACCTATACAGAACATTTGCTGCCTCATTAAATGAAAACAATGTCAAAGATGACCACAAACTCTTCAGCAGGCAAGAATGAGACCAAATTCAAACACCAAAACTACAGAAACTCAGAACCTCCATTCCCAGAGGTCTTCAAACTGCTTTGAAAAGAAGACCATGGTAAACATGCGCCTGTAGCAAGCATCAATTTTGAAATGAGCTAATTTTGTGCTTAAAATGGTAAAAATTTCTCAGTTTAAGCATCTTTTATGTTATTTATGTTCTGTGGTAAATAAAATATTTGCTCATGTGACTTGAAAGTCTTTCATCAGTATTAATGTTTTTCAAATTTAAAGGATGTCGTAGTGTCTACAGTAGTTGCAGACAGTACACTGAGGATAGGATGTGTTCGTCTAAAGTGTAGTAACGTAATTTAATGTAATTTAAAGGGATGTGACATTTTAGGGCTTTGGTAGAATATAGTGTGGACAGACTCTTTATATACTATAAAAGAAAGAAACACATGTAGCTAAAATTTACAGAAAACAAGCTGAGTTTACTTTATTCAAACTCATAAAAGGCAAAAAGAAAAAGTGAATAAGCCTTGTTTCTTAGGTTAGAATCTAAATTGTCTGGCTGTCTGGCTGTTCCAGTAATAAAGTCATTCTTTTGTTACAGTAGTTAATATAACAACTTACTTATTGGAGCTGATATATTACATGCAGTCCAACAGGAATACTGATCCGGCTGAGAATTCTGATAAAGCATGCAATAAGACACAAAAGGCATCAACCACCAGAATATCCAGCTCTTCTTCCTGTGAAGAGACTCTCTCATTTAGAATGGAAAAAAAGGCAATGCTTTTCAGTCAAAGTTCTTTTCTGATTAAAATATCTTAATTTTTTAGATTAGTACAAAATTTATTTTGTTGCTATTATGCTGAAGGTAGATCATCATCACCCTGAAGACTCATCATCACAACAACGCGAAATATGTTTTCTACATAAAGATTTTGAGTTTTAGAGACTGTACCAAGTTATAAAAAAACACAGGTATAGAAATAAAACGAATTCAACTTCTACTCCTCCTATTTCTACTACCAATAATCCTAAGAAATACACTGAAAGAAAATCACAAATTAAAAAAAGTATAAAGTCGAATGACTCTAATAACACTAACAACCCTTGTTATTTGCATCAACACAGAAAGTAAAATGTATTTTAAAGTGAACCAAAGCATAACCTACCTTTCCATGTTGCTGTGGAACTAAGTTAATAAACACAGAGCAAAGCAGAAGTGACAGCGCGGGGGTGGGGGGGTTTGAATTTGAAGAGCTGCAAAGGAAGTTGATGAAACAACTGTAAATGCTATTCTGAGTAAGTAAAAAAGAGGAAGTATCAACTGGCAAAAAATACATTTCTTATCTTCCTTGTCACTACTCAGTATGCATCAAATACAGGATGACATCATTGAAATATTATACTTTACTCTGTTCACATGTTCAGCACTTGCTTTGAGGGAAAAAAAGTAGCTTTAGTACTACTAAAGCTACTTTTTTTCCCTCAAAGCAAGTCATTGATCAATATCAGGAAAATTGGATTATGACTATGGACAGCAGAACACAGTACTACATTAAGTTTTGTGTGTATAAAATTGAAAATAAAACTGATTCTGATTTTGAGAAACAAAATTAAGATGAACACAAATTTCCAGTTTATGCACAGTGTGATTTTCCTCCAGCTGTTACAAGTCAAAAGTTAAAGCCCATGGGAAAACAGTTATATCTAATCTTACAGCTTGGTGTTAAAGTTTTGCATTTGCATAAAAACCTTGATTTGCATTGCAAATCATGAACAACAGAGTGATGCTGTAAGGCAGGAAGAACCCGATACTATCTGAGGTTTATCTAATCTGCATTTAATGACTGTATGTGTTTGTGTTGTTTCATCTATTTTGAGTTAAAATAGGATGACATTTCCTTGTGACTAGGAAAAATAAATGGTTTTCTGGTAATTGTATCAAAATATTTTGCTGTTGGAGACTGATTAAAAGCAAATGCAGCAACAAGGTGGTCACAGTTAGGTGACCATTTCCTATTTAATAAATATGTTTTATCAAAAATGGCTGGGCAGGCCCAAAGTGGGTGGGATGAGCTCTAAAGCTGTATGGGCAGGGCAAAACCAGACTTATTCCACATTAGTCTCAAATGCATGTGCCGAAAGAGTCACAGTAAAGCTTTAAGGAATACTGTAGTCAAGTCCTCTTTCTTTCAGTTGACGTAGCTCTCAAAAATTAAGCCCATCTTGTCTAGATGCCACCAGAGAGACTCTGATCCATACATTTATCCAGTGGCGGTCCTAGCCTGTTTGGTGCCCTGGGC